TGGTTTTTGGAGTCTGCTCTCTCCCCCATCAACTCCTCTGAGGTAGCCATAGTCAAACTGGTTCAAAACATCAAAGTTCATGCTCAATAATCCAGGCAGAAAATCCAACAAAGTTAAATCAGGTCATCTTGATGATTTATTTTTGTTGTTGTTGAGACGTTTCATCCTTCATCCAAAGGACTTCATCAGTCTGAGGAGCCACAACAAACTCAGTCCCACGAGCAGCACAACCACATAGTGGACCAACCAGTTTGATGGTGATGAGATGGCTTCTGGGGCCCGCCCTCTCCCCCATTGACTCCTCTGAGGCAGCCATAGCCAAAGTGGTTTAAAACATCATGACTTAACTTTGCTGAATATTTTTTACCCGAATTATTGAGCATAAACTTTGATGTATTGAAATATACTGTACAGATATAAATAACTGTTCTTCATCTCTCTGACTTTCATCTAAAAGCCAGAAAGAGAGGAAAAGTTTGGTGATTCAGCGCAGTCTGAGAAATTTTAATTTAGTTGTTTTTAAGTATATACTGGAAGCTTCAAGGGTTAAACCAGAGACCGACTATATTGTTCCTTAGTGTTGAGACAAGAACAGCAGTTTATCTGATAACAACAGTCTAAAGCTAAATGACTGTTATGAGGACGTCCAGATGCTCGACTGTATTTTTCAACCGACATGTGGGTTCACAGAGTCTTTGAATGAAATGTAAAAGGATAACGAAATATCTGGATGGGTTCTTACTTGAAGCTGTGTAAAAGTAAAAGAAACATATAAGATAATGTTTTGGTAACTTTGCATGTAGGAAATGCACAGCACATATATTTGTCAAAAATTTGTTTTTACTGAGCAATGATTCCTGTCTTATAAGAACTTGGAAAACCTAAAAAGCATCCAGAAATATTAGCAGTGGATGTTTTAAACTACAACCCAAGAGGCCAGGAAGGCCTTCGATGTTTGATTCAACTTTTGAGTTTTATGCTTCAAGCCCAGATCACAAAGAAGGTTAAATCATGTCATGTGGACAAGTTTCTTTTTGGGAGAAAGGTTTCATCTTTCATCTGAAAAGCTTCATCAGTCTGAGGCCTGCCAACCCAGATCTGTTTTATAAATAGCACCTCCTTGAGGTGTTTCAAGCCAGCATCAAGAAACTGGCTTTAACACGTGCAAAAAGGGCCATCCGCCCCCATCATGCATAACAATCAAATGTTACTCAGATATCACAAAGAAAAAAAAAATCATCTTTGGTCTGTCTAGGGTCAAGACAGCTTATTCCAGAAGACAATGGAAAAGAAGTGAGGTACTTCCTGTAAAGAGTTATTACTTGGTTACACACAGATACATGAGACACAAACTCAGCACCAGAATGAGACGTGCCAGATGTAAACTCTAGAGAAAGGCCTTCACAGCCAAGATTTGAAGTGGAGAACTTCCTGCTGTGAGGTGATTGTAATAACCACTGCACCACCATGCAGCCTATAACCCAATGATTACTGAAGGGAAATAATAATGATGACAGCGATGGGTTAGCTCACTCTGGCTAACGTAGAATTTACCCTCCTACAAAATTCCCACAAGCCCCGAGCAGTACGCTGCTGATAGGATATCTCTACCGGCCCTCTCTGGCCTCAAGACTTTCACTCTGTTGTCCTTTCAATCAGCATGTAATTGGATCAGTGGCAGCAATTTGATAAGGATGATGTATCTGACTCAAAACAATGATATATGCAGTGTCAGAGTCGTGTGATCTTCTCAAACAGTCCTTTAGCAGCCTTGTTGGTCAGACACATTTCTCAGTATTGGCCTGAAGAAAGCTATGCCCAACACAAACAAAGATGCACATACACACACTGCACGAGGTGTGTATACGCACTCAGACACATACACGATAACTGAAACTGCAAAAATGCAGAAAGAAACAGAGCATCAAATAAATTCCTCTCTTCTAATCCTCACTTGGGTAATTAAAGATGCTCACAGTTTCTGTGTGAGGCTTCCCTCCAATTTAGAGCATCTAAACGTTGTGCAGCTTTTACACGGTTCACTGGCAACAACACAGACCCAGTAGTCACTGCCAACAGATTAAAACAAAGTTAATCTTTACTCAAGCAATGGTTCAGATCTTTTGAAGTGGAGTTTTGTGGAATTACGAACATTTACTGTCTTACCTGTTGTAGATATCTTTTTTAAACAACTTATGTTTGGAGAAATAGAGTTTATAGACCAGATCGACGAGCTAATGATGACTCTGAGTACAGCCAAGACTGAAGCTTACTGTCGCTGTCGTAAACGTATCTAAAATCAGTCACTGTGATGAGCATTATTTCATAAATGTATATACCTCCATCAATTTCAAACATAATTATTCTAGCAGAAAGATTATGACTTTCTTCATGGAAGAGCTCCAGGTTGCACCAGAATTGTTAGATACAGTCACAGCCTATAGCGAAACGCTACAGCATTATTTGTTCATAACTTTTCAACAAAACCCCATTTCAAAATATCAGAACTTTCTCTTTAATATGCATGAAACATAATAAATAACATCAAAGTTCATGCTCAGTAATCCAGGTGAAAAAAATCCAACAAAGTTAAGTCAGGTCCTCCGGATGGTTTCTTTTTTTTTTGTTGTTGTTGAAACGTTTCGTCCTTCATCCAAAGGACTTCATCAGTCTGAGGAGCCACAACAAACTCAGTCCTACAAGTAAATGTAAGTCACCTCCTTCTACAGGTGTGCAGTGGAGAGCATCCTGTGCTCCAGCATCAGCGTGTGGCATGGAGGCTGCACAGAAGTCTGTTGGAGTCAGTCTCCCCACCATCACAGACATCTACACATCCAGATGCAGGAAGATGGCCACCTGCATCATGAAGGACCACACTCACCCAGTACACACATTTTTTTGCCCGTTAGACTCATGAGTCCCTAGTCAGAATTATCACTGTGATGCCATTTGGTTGTTGATATGTGCTGCTGACTATCCATGATGCTGATCTCATTCTGTTGATTTATTTTGTGTTGCTGTGTTCATTCATCCTCATCTGCTCACACAGACTCATGTTCGTGCTGCTGTATTCAGCATATAGTTTTTGTACTATCAGTGCTTAGTGTATTCTTAGTTTAGCGTATTTCTTAGTTCATGTCTTAGATCTTATCACTGGTTTTATTTACAATTTGTATTTTTTTGGATGCAACTGGGACCCTGTGTACATAGTTTCATTCCACCTCATGTGCCACATGTGATGTGAATGACAATAAAGAATCTTGAATCCTTGAGCTGATGAAGTCCTTTGGATGAAGGACAAAGCATTTCAACAAAAAAAGAAACCATCTAGAGGACATGACCTCACTTTGCTGGATAATGGAAACAAGTTAAACTGAACACACTGAACACAATACGTATATTTGATTAAAGACAAGTTTTAGCTAATTCTATTAAATAAATAAGAAATAACCAGAAAGTAAAAAATGTATAAAACAGCCCATTAAAAAGCAGTAAAACAAAGTGTTTGGATTTAATTGTGCACACTGTTACTCAGGTAACGGCACCTTCCTACTTTAATTGCCAGGATGATCTGGGATTATCCCTCATAAAATGGTATTGTTCTGAAACATGATAAAGAGATCTTGTGATCTATAAAGGACTTAATCTGCTGCTATCTTTGATAAAACAACAACATCATGGATTTTGCTCAAACACAGCCACTGCCACACAACTTTTCCACCTAATGGAGGTCAAGAGGGAATCAACAAGGGCTTTTCCTATGGAGATGACCCCAACGTTAATGCTGTCACCCCACATAAAGGTTTGTCCTGTGCCTCAGAGGAGCATGTACTTTCTCACACTGATTACAATCTCCATGAGTGACACAGGTTTTCTGTGAAAAAGAGATTTAAAAACTAAAAGATTGACAAATGACTTTGCTGGCTTCGGCTTTTATGTTTTATTACACAGTAAACAAGGGGGTTTTCAACCAAATCTGAATTTTAAAAAACCCTGTTATAAACATCAACAAAATGTAAAGCATATGTACACTTCACAATAAAAATTTAAAAAAAGAAATTTAAATGTGCATGCCTCTTTTGTGACTTATTGTTGTCGTTGTTACCCACTGTTGTCATCACTCTTTGTTAAGAAATCAGGTCTCTCTTGTAAATGAGTCCCCGAGGCTCAATGGGATTAACCAGTCTAAATAAAGATTGAATGAAAAAAACAAGTTCTGAAGGCAAATAATGCCTTAAAACCCACAAAAGAAACTATAATCGGATTAATCCAAAAAGGAAACAATAACTTGAAGCACTTCTTGATCAATAATCTAACCATGAAACACATAAAAAAGCATTTTGATTGAGCTGTTTGGTCTAATTCACAGAAATACATCACACCCTCTTTCTGCCATTTCTACTTATAAAGACAAACAGTCTAATTTTAAATAGAAACCCAAACTCTCATTCGTATCCCTGCATTTTGTGCACTTATTCCCTTTAAACAGCCTTAATGTTTTATTTTGACACCATGGAACTTATTTTGGAGTCTGAATGCGCACAGGTGGCGTATGGAGGAGTGATTGACAGCCTGTTGCAGTGACATCATAGTTGGACAAAAAGAGTGTCGGGGGGGAAAGAGAAGGCACCAATCAATTGAACCAGGAGGAGGACGGTGTGCCACAGACGCGCTGCTTCCACAGGAGAGACACTCCAGCGCGCGCTGCTCTCCAAAAAACATCCACTCATTTATTTACAGCACTTCTGCTCTTTTTGTATTATTATTTTTAAAATGTGCAGCCAAAAGTCCTTACACTTGGTTCGGTTACGCGCAGCCGCTTCCTCATAGACTTAACATTGACTGCTTTTATTTTTTTTATTTTTATTTTATTTTTTTTCTTTCTCTCCGTCCTGACCCAAAAACCTAACCCGACTTGGCGCAGCTGGAGAGAATATGTGCGTGAGGCGATCTGCGAAGGGCTCGGGCTGTTTTTGGTCCCCCAAGGAGAAGCAGCTTGGATTAAACACGAGTTAATGTGGAATTTATCGGAGCTTAAAGGTGGAACGACGACCGGACACAGCGCTTTCTCGTCAGGTAATACTCAGATGAAGTAACTGTATTTGTAAAAATCGAACCGTTTCAGAAGTTGTCATAACTTATAAGGGATAAGTCAACTTTCCAAGTGGCTGTGGGCTCAGTCTTATTTGTTTCTGATCATAATTAGAAGGTGCGTAAAAGTTAAAGCCTCCCCCACCTCCTGGTGAGAAACATAAGATGAAGTTGGTGAAAAGAAGTTGTGGCACTCAGATGAGTTTTTGATGTTTTTTGATGTGCTGTCCCGGGACACATCTGGCCCTGCACGTCAGATCTAACACCTGCGAGCTTCTGAAGTGCCTCTATCCCTTCTGGTTCCACAGCCTGTCTGATTGCTCTGCTGCTGTGCTGTCTAATCCCCCACACACACTTTTTTCTTCTTCGCCAGATACTGTAAAACTTCTTGTGATCTTCTGCACAGACTTCTTTTCTCCTTCTTTTCATATCACAGCATCAAACATGATCTCTTATCTTTTCTAACTAGAGACTTTTGGTCTGCGGTCGTCCCCTCGACATCCATTCATTTTTTTTAACTCCTCTTTCTTTTATTACTTTCTCTGCTTCGTATCTTTATGTTTGGGTTCATGTTGAGCCCTGGGGTTGTGTCTGTTTTTTCCTGCTCACTGAGGGGGGGCACCACACAGTTTGAGAAATGCTCCAGTGAAGCCCCTCTCAGACGTGACCGCCTCACGTCAGTGCATCGAGCGCCAGCGTATTGACCCCAACCCAACTTTCTCCACAGGGACTGACTGATCATGGTCGCCGTGGTCCGCTCTCTCATGGTACTGCTGCTCGCTCAGGTGCTGCTGGAAGGTGCTGCGGGACTCATCCCCGAGGTGGGCCGGAGGAGATACAGCGAGTCTGGGAAGCAGAGCCCGGAGCAGTCGGAGAGCTTCCTCAAAGAGTTTGAGCTTCGGCTTCTCAACATGTTCGGCCTGAAGCGCAGGCCGACCCCCAGCAAGCAGGCCGTGGTGCCGCAGTACATGGTGGACCTTTACCGCATGCACTCTGCCAACGGGGATCACAGCACCAAGCGACCCAAGAACATGGGGAAGCACGCAGAGCGAGCCGCCAGCAAGGCCAACACGATTAGAAGCTTTCACCACGAAGGTGCGTATTAGTGACATACCTTTCCATGCGCTCTCAGACAACCCCAAACCTATATTTAAACATGACTCAGAGCGTCACGAGCAAACTTCAGAGTCCTCACTGTTTTATGAAAGTTTAGTCATTTGCAGATGGCACAAGTCCAAGGTATTTGAAACTCCTAGAAAAGTTCTTAAAGTGGCATGATTTAAAAGCAAGTGTTCCACGATGCGCAGTTAAATGAACAATCATACGTAAGGCAAACATCCCTCCCCGCAGCAGCTGTCACAGGCTTCAAAAGCACAAGGGGCGGCGGTGTCCCTGGGGTAATTTGTTTCTTAATAATTGATGGTGTTTGCGTGGGCTCTGAAAACAGTTTTTCCAGACACGCACCACAGGAGCCGGATAAAGGGCGGTGTGCCTGTAGCGCAGGTGATACACATCATCCGGACACACTATGACGAAGTCATTCGTGTCCGACTGAGTCACTTTTAACAAGACTGAAATACGTTTGTGGTAAAGTGAGGAGGGAGGAGTTGCTTTCGTTGTTTTCTTTCGTTCTCTTTCTTTCTTTTTCTCCGTGATGTGCGCCATTACGCACGTTCCACTTTGGGAAACACGCGGTGATTGTTGATTTAAGTCTATTTGACAACACGTGCTCAGATGAGTATGAAGGTTGATAACTCAGGACAGCAGGTCACCAGCTAAACGTTGTGTTCAAACTCTAATGAAGCAGGCTGTTGGACACAGTTACTCATAATTTAAGAGAAAACATATAAACATTTAAATGACTTTATATAAGTGCTGCTACACAAGTTAATTCCAATTTAGCCTACCATTTAACATCACAAGATCCAATTTGCAACTTATGAGTTACTGAGTCCATTGGGACAGAGTCCCATACAGAGTCCTGTGTTTGACTGGAGAAGTTTCCATCAGGGGTGAGTCAGAGTGGTGGCTGTGTGGCTGCTTGGGCGCTCTCCAAAGCGCCTAGTGCAATGACACCAAGTGGCTACAATGACACACTACAAACAGTTGTGGAGTGACTGCTCCCAGCCCCACTGCTGGAAACCTCTGTCCTCAGCCAGCACACCTTGATACCATCACTGATTGTATTTACATAGGTTCCCCTGGCTCGTTTCATCCCGTGCAAACAGCTACAGGTTATTAGTCTTCCTTTATCATGTCAGGTGACGTGCATGTGATTGTTGCTCCATGTAATAAGTGTGTATCTACCGATGTAAATGCAGCACATCAAAGCAAACAGCTGGGCTCGTTCATCCCATCTGCCGTCTGATATTAATTTAGCTCGGACGATTAGTCTTACGGCTATCGGTTTTCAAGAATACTTCTTACCGATGCCAAATAGAACATTTCCACTAGTACACAGGAAGACACTGCCTGATGAATGACCCAATGTTAGCCTTTATCTGCTGTTTTGGCACGCGGCACTAAAAGAAATTAGGAATGTTGATGCACTCATATCTGTGGTTCACGCATTTTGGACAAGCCTAAGCTTGTTCACGCAGCAGGTCCTTAAAGAAAAGAAAGACAGGAGGTTGAGAATACTGCTGCGGATAGAAACAGAGAGAACAGGGATGGAGAAGTAGACAAAAAGAAAAGAGGATTAAGACAACTGAGGGAAAGGGGGATTTGGGTGCTGATGAAGGAAAGCAAGAGTAGGTTGAGTAAAGGGGAGAGAGAATGAAAGACGGGGGGCTTTCCCACATCAGATGAGAAGTGATGGGTCTAATTGAGGTCTTTGTGTCTGGGGGAGTGGGGGGTTAGGGTGAGATTGTGGAATTTCCTAAATGGCTCCTTTTGAAAAGATAAAGAGTTTGAGGTTTGTGTTTCTTTGCCGCAGCAAACAGATTAAATTGGGTGTCTATATATTGTCAATGATCATAAAGTAAAAGTTCAAAGTGGGGCCGCCTCAAAGAAAATTGCAGCTTTTACCAACACTTCTGCAATTTAAACCACACAGGGGATTACCAATGCATTTTATGTTCATGTGCTATTTTCATATGCTTACGGAGATTTGTATGAGTAATACAAGATAGCATTTGAACTATTCTAGTAAATAAGAGTCAAGAACATTTAGGTTATTATTTTCTTTCTAAAACAAGTGTCAGATGCAATTCCTTTGACAATGTTATAAATGTCCCACTGAAAAGTATTTGTTCTGAAAAGAATGTGGCATCTGGCATTTATATAATAATGCTTTCTATTGATTTTTGTATTTATCTGCTGTGCGTTTGATTCGACTTCAGTGTATGCATTGTTGGAAATAGTGTGCAGCAGCCAAATTACCGTAGGCATGAAGGCAGGCTGATGGTTCTGTTTGATTTTATCAGTAGATGGAAGTGAGCCGCTTTCATCCTTTGACATTTAACCAGGTGATTCCAAGGGCCTGACACTAATGATGGTATTACATCATTTGGAGTATTTGCCTGTCATTACACTGAGTCATATATGGAAAAACTTGATATATCATGTTTTACCTGCTTGACAATGGCCCACACCCTCTATAACCATGCAGCAGATTGGCTGGCTGTATAGGAAAAAAAATTACGAATGACGAAATCAGTTTTTCTGTTGATCTATTAACCAACACCCATTAATCATGTGTTTTGTTTCTCATTCTTGTGCTGTGTATAAATACTTGGATATGTCATTGCAATGCTATCATCTTACAGTATGGATGTCTCTTTTGTTTTTGTTGTAGAGTCCATGGAGGCTCTGACCAGCCTGAAAGGCAAAACAATCCAGCAGTTCTACTTTAACCTGACATCTGTCCCTCATGAGGAGCTCATCACTTCTGCAGAACTTCGTATTTACAGAGATCAGGTCATGGGACCTGCCATCCCTAACAACAGCAGCACTGGTGAGAGTGTTCCAGCTGGTGGCTTGCATCGTATTAACATTTATGAGATATTCAGAGTTCCTGCCACTGATGGCGCTGAACCTCTAGCACGCCTGCTGGACACCCGGCTGGTGCAGGACTCCTTGAGTCGCTGGGAGAGCTTTGATGTGAGTACTGCTGTGTCTCAGTGGACCTCAGGGAAAGGCCACAATCAAGGCTTCATGGTGGAAGTGCTTCACCCAGAGGAAAAGAAGATGGATGCTGAGCATGCCCAGAGACGTAATAGGCATGTCAGGGTGAGCCGGTCTCTGCATACGGACCAGGACTCTTGGCCTCAGGCACGGCCCTTGTTGGTGACATATAGCCACGATGGCCGTGGGGACTCTGTGCTCCATACACGAGAAAAAAGGCAGGCAGCGCTCCGTAAACAGCGCAGGAAGCACCAGCATAAGGCAAGCTGTAAAAGGCATGCCTTGTATGTAGACTTCAGTGATGTGGGATGGAATGAGTGGATAGTGGCACCCCCTGGCTACCATGCCTTTTATTGCCACGGGGAATGTCCCTTCCCCTTGGCGGACCACCTCAATGCAACCAATCATGCAATTGTGCAGACACTTGTCAACTCAGTCAACTCAAACATCCCTAAAGCCTGTTGTGTGCCCACTGAACTCAGCCCTATTTCACTGCTCTACCTGGACGAATATCAGAAAGTCATTCTAAAAAACTACCAGGACATGGTGGTGGAGGGATGTGGCTGCCAATGAAAAACTGACAGTGTGGACAGAAAGAGTGAGCATGCAAGAAAGACCGGAAAGTGTTTTTGGTTGCTACGGACACCCGGTTTCCCAACAAAGACATTTATTTATAAGAAAGATACACAAAACAGAGCTATAGTGGAATAAAAAAAAAACTATATATGAATATATTTATGTCTACTTAAAAGTTGGGGAAAATAAATGTTTTAATCAAAAGAATATTCCTTTACTGGTTCTGAAAATGTATTTTTGATGTACATTTTGAAATGGGTGCAATACCACATGAAGTATATTGCTCAGATTTTTATTTTGTATTTATTTCTATTATAACCACTTTATTTGTAAATAAATAATGTGTATTTATCATTAAAACAAAAGATGTGGTTTACTCAAGTTTTCCAAGCTCAGCTGTACTGAACCAGACATTCCCAAGGTGTTTGTGTTAGAGAGCGAGTTCGGAGCATGACTACATGTGTGGCTGGATACAAGTTTGAACTCTGACGTCAAAAATACCTACAAAAATACAACACTAATTGCAAATCAAGCATGAACTATTTTGGTAAATGTAATTGGAAACCAAAAACAAAGCAAGAGGGCTAGATCACTGGTGTAATGAACTGCAAAGCGGTGCGGGGTCAGAGGACGATTTACATGCCCACCAATGTAACAGACTCCCATGGGAGGACTGGATAAACAGCCAGGCATGTTTTTTTGCATTACACGTCACTGCAAAGATTCCTGGGAACAATCTTTCAAGAGCTGGCTCTTATGTTTATTTTGCTCCAAACCATTAATAAAAGATGAAAAAAAAGTGAAACTCTAATGCTTCTGTGGAAGGTTGACAAGGTTTATTTACTGTAAGATTTGTTATTGAAAGATTGCATAATGTGCTAGACAGACACAGCAACATGCCTTAAGCAAAAAATATATATATCAGCACTTTAATTAATTAAAACAAACACACACCTGCACCTGACACATGCTCAGACAGATTTCAACCACATAGTGTGCTGCCTGTCTTTATCTTTGTTTCATAAAGCTCTAATGCATTTTTATTTAACAAAACAGCACAATTGAAACATGATGCACTATTAACAGATACACTGTGACCACAATACAGCTTAAAAATCTTGTTTTACTCACCAATATCATAATGACACAATGAATAGAAAAAGATAAGAATACATAAGATTATATTACAAAACCATACAACTCTGAGTGAGCATCTTTCTGGAACAGGGCTGTTCAACTGGCGGCCCATGGGCTAAATCAGACCCATGGATGTGTTCAGTTCAGCCCACAAATGGGTTCATTTTTAAATAAAACTATTTAAAACCATAAAAGAAGCTAACTTAATGGCAATAACTGCTGGATGTCTGTCCCTTGAGTTCTTTGCTTTCAGTAACTGTGCCCCCTTGAGCAATTCAATTGAATCGCCCTGTTCTAGAACAATATTATTAGTATTAATATAGACTCTAACATAATATCAATATAAAAACTACTCAAAATATGGATGAGAATTTCAAAGAAAAGAGGAACAGTGAAGAGTTTGGAGGAGTTTGGATAACTGTGCTCTTTGCAGTGTTTGCATTAGAAAGGGTTTGGAGGGATCGCAGGCCAGCTCAGAATCCTCTAAATAGACTGTTTTAATGTGAGTGCACATTGGGACCAAGGAATGTTGGTTTTCAATCTCAGACACATGCATATGCTTGCATGGAAAACCAACGTGGTTGTTTTTTCAATCATCTATTCAAGGATTTCCTGGTGGGCTTTTTCTCTGCAAAAACAACTGTGCATTGAACAAAGCTTAGCTTGTTACTTATATAGAAAATGTAAATGAAAACATGAAGAAGGAGCACTAATACTATTTTCAGAGGCTGTAAAAACACACAAAAAAAGTCATTTGAAAAAGTAGTTGTTTATTTCTGGGGTTTTTTTTTTACTCTTTGAAGTATATAAATCTAGCTGATACAAGTTCATCCACAGAGTTACCTTCGATGAGGCAACTTTAACTTTATGCACTTGTTTCCATTCTTTTTTGCATCTTCAAATAAGTGCTGCAACTGGGCAGTCACCTTGTTGGCACACTTGGTGAATACTGGATAGAACTCAACACTAAAACTTTCAACTTCACAACAGTCTTTGCCACAAATTCCAGCAATAATGTCATAAGTGGGATGTGGGGATTTTGTGTTAAAGAAAGTGTTAGATTTAGTGCTTTTATAGTTCAAGTCCATAAAGCTTTCATTGAGTTGGGTGGAAATACTGCTCTCAGAGTGGGCGACACATGGGCAGCACTCCCAAAACTCCCCGTCTGCACCCCGTTCCAGCTGAACTGGGTTCTAGTTGGACTACAGGTCAACCACTGTTTTACCACCTCCTGGGGTTTCTCATTTTAGAGTCATGTTAGTATCAAGCAGTTCCTTGAGGACCACTTCTAAACTTCTCACAAAAAAAGGGGGGGGGGGGGGTGTCAGGGGTCAAAGTAATATGAACCAATTATCTCCACCCTTACTGACTTACTTCCAGGCTCATCACGTCATCACGGTTTAGTGGCTTCAAGTGTGGTCAGCCACTGGATGGGACTGAGAACATGTTTGTGTTTTAGTATCCATTCTGTTTTACCAGCTCAGGCACAATTTATTTTTCAAAAGCACCTATTTTGAGGCAAAATAAATAAATGAATAAGCTAGAAAAAATAGGTTTGAATGTGACTTCATGATTAAATTATAGAAGGCACAGCAATGCGTACTTGGCAAGACGCTCTTCACCTGCTGCACAGACTTCGACAAAGGCACTCTAAAAAAAAAAAAAAAAAAGCTGATTTCCCCCTCCTTCTCCATGAACATCTGGCAAATCAGTTAAAGGTGTCCTTCACTGTCTGTTTACACACAAGCACACAACAGAGCAGCCGCACAGCTGATGCACATAACACTAGGAGCTAGGGACCTACTAGCGTGGCAGGGCCCGTTCATTTTGTTTGTTGCACTGCAGACCACACCAAAACTATCTGCAGCTACAAACAACCCAATCGTAAGGGCTATAAAATCAGATTTCCAGCTTTCTGGCTGGCCCAGATTTGAGAAAATATGTGGTTGTGCTGAGTATCTTTGATGAAACCGAGTGCTTGTGAGATTTCAACAGGCTCTGTGCCAAAATGGGACATAAAAATTAAGAGAAGTGAGGAGAGACAGCTGCCACTTTAGAGTCTTTTTCTAAGACGAGGTCTTTTCTTCCTCATGTGCTGCGCACACTAATTTTAGAGGTGGTGTACATGGTGTTTCTGTATTCCGAGAACAGCCAGTAAGATGACGTCCGGCATAGCTAAAGCTGTGGCATCTGTGCTGCAGCTCTGAACACATCAAACAGACAGGCGTCCACGGATTCTGGAGGAGAGCAAAGATGGAAATTACTTTTCCAGAATAACTGCAAGGATGATAATATACAAATGTTCCAGTTCATTCTTTCAAACGTGCCCCACTACAAGCACACTTGCACTATTTTGTTAATTCATAATTGTAAGAACGTTGACATTATATAAAGCACATGGTCTAAATTATTACTGTAAGAACTTGAATTAACTTAGATGGGAACTACTACTGCCATTTGTGTAAGAGCTAATCAGCCATGCAATTACAGTGGAGTTGGCTGAGAGTGAAATGTTGAAATCATTACCTCTGGCTGAGACTCTGTGAATTTGCCCATTATATAGTTTTATACTTTCAGAAGAATAATGCTGCTAGAGCATGAGAATTAGCACAGGAATAAAAACCTGCCTACCATTATGATACTCTTGAGAAATAAAGCAATAAAAAAGAATTCAAGAATGAATAAGGACTTTGAAGAGGCCATGCCTTTCTCAGTACATCTAGTGTGCAATCCTCTTTAACCTAAACAGTAAAATACTAAATATTGATTACAGTGAGAGATAAGAAAAAGTGATTTGACATAAATATTTATCTGTCTGATTTAATTTATGAAAAAAAAGAAATCAAGTGCACTTTACACATTGACAAGTTATACTTTTCTAAAGTGGGTAGTGGGAAAAAACCTCCATATGGGTCACAAATGGGGAACAGGCTTCAGGGTGGATTTGCTTTTAGACACTGACCTTAGATCAGTGTTGTGTTTATGCCTCTCATGGTTACAGTTAGGTTTTGGGGTAAAAGGTAAAACATGACTGATCCTGGAGCCTTGCCGAAGGGAGTCTCCTACACAGGAAACTTAAAAGGGTGTTGTGGCTATGAACTGCCTCCGACTTTGTAACCGGAAGTAAATCGATCAATCAAAGAGAGAAACATGACATCTCCCAGCATGCCTTGTAAATAAATGTCAGTGTCAGACGTTGTAAATCTAATGCATCGCCACTGTTACAACTTGAAAAAAAGTGTTCACAGTCAAAACTGGCAACGAATGAGGAGAGAGCTTTAAACTTGTCTGTCCTGTCTGATGACAGAATTAAAACATAAATAAAAATGATGTTCATTGTAAACTGCAAGAATTACCAAATATATGAAAGAAAACTTGTTACAATTAAAAGTAAATATTCCGGTAGTTAAAAAATCTATGAACATGACTTGTACAAAACTAGAAGCTTGTGGGTGTTTGCTGGTAAATTGTTTGCCCTTAGTGCATTTTATCTTATTTAAATCTAGCAACCCATTCAAAAGGCATTTTCTGTTACATATAATATCATATATGTTAAGATATATTAGATTGCATTTTATACATACATATAGAGAGTACATATAACCATATCTACCGGCATATGAAAAAAAAAAAAATTCCAGCGTATCCTTTCTTCAGGGGTTGCCACAGGAAGAACACTCACAGTATGACAGTTGTTTTATGTCACATGCTCTTCCTTATACAACCACTGAGCTACCACTACCCACCTGTGTGGTGTAGAGGGTTGCCATTTAGCAAACTCAGAGAAACAATTGGGTGTTAATACAAAGTATATATACATACACATGTTTATATATATACATATATATATATATATATACATATATATATATATATATATATATATATATATGTAT